AGTTCAACAAGGACAACAAAAAGGTTTTTCAGAGAAACTTCCCTTAATAATCATAGTCGGAGAGCTGATCATTATCATGAGAACTGTTGGACGCTTTGCCTTGCGGTTGTGGACTGCTGCTTCATCATTGAAGTTATTGCTGGGGCATGCGGAGTTGCATCTGGAGTTGTTGCTACTCCCCCTTTCTGACCAGACTGTGCCAAAGTTTTAAGAAGCTGGTCCTGAATAGACGAAAATCCCTGAGCAAGCTGAGCCTGAATAGACTCCTAAAAACGAGTGAGCTCATCATTGGTGACCACATCAACTGGCAGCGGAATAGAGGCAGAGACAATGGGATCCTTTTTCGCGCGAGAGGCCGTCTGAACAACAGAGGGATCGATAGGAGGCAGATCAGCAAAATGTTCAGAAAGGACCTTACCTTGGATAGTGATTGGACGGCCAGGAGGATCCAACAGAGTGGCATCACGAGTGGGCAGGCCTTGTTTGATCAGAAGCTGATAGATCAGAGAAGGAAATGGCAGATGCTCACGCTCGGTGCTGGAATTGGCTAACAACCCAATCTGATTGAAAATCAAATCACCAATATTGATTGTATGGTCATGAGTGTCCATAGAACCAGATGTCATGGGCCCAGAAGCATTAAGTAAACTCTTCTTCGCCTTGAAAGCAACTAAGAAATGTTGTGACAGTGAGTGATAGGTCAACGAGGGAAAAGACAGACACTCCAACTTTTTGTGCGAGAGTTAGCAAGAGCTCCATTTTGAGCATAGATGTACTCCCCAATGTTGATAAATACAGCATGAGTGACGCTTCAGGGAAACTCAGCATACAGTGATCACAACGGTTGTGGTGTACTTGACACAAAGGGCTAAACAGTGATTTGATTCTTACACCGGTAAAATCTTTATTCACTTCAGGAGCCACATTGAAAAATTTCCCTTCGCAAGTAACCGCGAGTCCCATCAACGGAGAATCAACAGAGAGTTAGGACTCTGGTGAAGATTCTGATGACTCAGATCTAGTTGGATGTACGGCAGTAAAGGCAGCATAAGTCTGCTCTGAAAGAGATTGGTGGCCACTCGAAGCGTATGACTCATCCTCAAGACCATAATTGCTCTCAAGCTTCCTTTGAGGCCGGCGAAGCTGCACATGGGCGCTGAAAGTAGCTTCTTCAATTGCGACATGGTCTTCACCACCGACGTCTTCTGCCTTAGACATGGAAGGATCACTTTCAACCAGAATATTGTCCACGCCATATTTCCGGTTATTGAAGATTGAGGAAATCCGCCAAGTTTTGGAATTAAAAGATTGGCAAAGATTTGTTTTCCATATTTATTTTGGAATTTATTAGAGTCCTATTCTTATAATACTTCTATTAGGACTTAGATTTATTTCCATGTATTTTATTCTAGTTAGGTATGTTTTGTACTTATCTAGAATAGAAGTAGAAATCAACTAGGATTCTATTACCTAGTTAAATAGATTTCTTGGGGTTCAAGTTAGGTCTTAGGGCTTATTTTCGTGGCTATATAAGCCTCCAAGACATACAAGAACCGCGGGCATTATTTGGGAGAAAAACCTCTTCATAGCATCGAAGTTTTGCCAAGGCGTTCTGCGGAGCAGGACTGTGCCATCGTTGCACTGTGCCAACATATACATATTTGCTGTATAGATCTCAAGGGAGATCAGCCGCGTTTTCTGAAGGGAGTTCAGGCTTGAAGAAAGTTCAAGGCACGCGGGTGGAGCTGCTGTTGGAAGAAACACGAAGTTCGAGTTGTGTACAAGAACGGCATATTACATAAAGAGGGAGTCTTTAGTGTTTTTTATAAGTCCTATTAATGTACACTGTAAATCTGAACTAGTGAAATCGTGTTTGCAGGTCCACGTGGATGTAGGGCACATTTGTGTCTGAACCACATTAATTCCTTGTGTTCATTTATTTGCTTTAAGTAGTTTATAACTGTGTTAACACAAGAATTATAGTTGTAACTGAATACTGTTTCCACAACTTAACTGTTACAACTTAGGTTAATTGATTTCTATAGGCATATAAATCAACACGGATTGTGAATAACATTGTCAATTTTGATTTCTTTCAAGGGAGGGACATTTTGGGGCCTACAAATGAAGAAGGGGAAAATGTGTACCTTAGCTCTGATAGTCTGTGCGTAGACGAAGCAAGTTCCAAGATTAATGCACAAATATATTCGACGGAGTTTCTCAATACAATATCGTGCTCCGATTTTTCTCCGCTCGAGCTGAAATCAAAGAAATGCGTTCATGTCATGCTCATTAGGAATATCAATCAAACGAGATGTTTGTGCAATGGAACTAGCCTCCAAGTTGAAAGATTGGGAATGCACGTAATTAGCTGCAAGGTACTGTCTGGTAAGAATGATGGCGACATGGTATTTATTCCTAGGATGACTTTGATACCGTCGAATTCCACATTACCAGTTAAATTTCAAAGAGAACAATAACCAGTGATTATTTCATTTGCCATGACAATCAACAAAAGTCAAAGGCGAACTCTCTCGCAAGTTGGACTGTACCTTCCAATGCCTGCTTTCAGTCACGGTCAATTGTACGTAGCATTGTCTTGAGTGAAGAGTAGATCTGGGATAAAATTTTCATCAAGGGGGAATCCGGTGAGTTGCCCAGTGTTACTAGAAACTTCGTGTACAAAGAAGTATTCTAAAGAATATGAAGGTACACATTAACAAAAATCATTAATCGATAACATGTTCATATTTATTTATTATTTCAACTTGTACACTTTATGTATGTTCAATTTTATTTGCAGCGAGTAATATATTTCCACATGAAAATCGAGTATTCTTTTTTTTTCTTTTTTTTTTTCTATGCTCACATTCTTCGTTTGTTGTTTATGTATTTTTATTTTTATCTACGTAATGTGTTGAACTTATATATTGAGAATGATGCAACATAGCAGGTTCTTCATCCTCTGATCTTAGATCTGATTGTAGTTTCGTGGTCTTCTTTAACAACATTTATTGTAATGTGCAAGACTGGTGCATTGCTTTGATTGCAGTCTTGGAGTTATTTGCTACATTTCGACGTGGATGATGTTTAGAACATTGTCAGTTTATTTTTTATGTAGTTTTTTTATTGATAAATTAAGACACAAATTTGTTATTTTTGTCGATTGTATTCGCTTTACATTCTTGACAAATTTTTTCTTCGTTGGTTTTCTCCATTAACTCATCTTGATTTTTTGAATTAATCCCCATGCATCGCATAGTGAGTTACTAGTTTTCTTTATGAACTTAAATCATATCATTGAAGTACGGATGAGAATTACTATTAAAATAATAACCATTATCAAAGAATAGAATATGTTAGAAATTTTAACAATATCCAAATCTAACCATGTTAATATTTGAATCACAATAAATTAAAAGACAATGAATGGTTATTTGTGCGGACTTTTCAATACAATTTGAATTATGTAATCGGATTTATAATGAGGGAGTTGTGATTGAATTATCAAATATTGGTTTATTTTTTGTTTATAAAATATTTATTGTCGTAATAATAGAGTTTTATAGTTATTTTAATGTTGTAGCAGTGAGCGCAGTGTGTTGTGACGGTTAATAAACTTTATTAAAACTATAGATGAATTTAATGTGGTTCGAATATACTTCTACTCTACATCCACGAGGATCTGCAATCAAAGTTTCATTAGATTTTAGTTTTACATGTATAATATTAGGATTAAACAGTTTAAACACTGAATACTCCTAATTTTGTTGACACCATTCTTGTACACAATACTCGAATTCGTCTATTTGAATTAACTCATCACTAAGATTATATCTCATAGAGTTCATTTCCTTTTCTCAACCCATGACCAATATGAGCTCGAATCCTCTTTCATAATTGCCGGAACTTCTTCTCGGAATTCCTTTTTCCAGCTGCACCATTACAAACTACTATAGTTCGATTCTTCATGCACACTTATTCAAGAACTACTGCTTGTCTGCATTGACGCCCTTGCTGCACAATCACTGCCTATTTTTCATGCATGCAGAATTGTGGATAATGCTAAGTGCGAAAATGTCATTTTTGATATAATATTGTAATACTACCCTATCTATATATCAATGGCGCGCTCTCTGATTGGTTGGACTACTAATGCAACCATTTTGGGCATCAAGAAAATTTGGAGTCTATATATGGCCAAAATGACAATTCAAATATGCTATTCTGACACTAATTTTTCTGCTCATCAATTGAGCCGCTTGGGCTCGCTGTTCGATCGGGAACATTATGTCGTTCCCAATCTCTTTTGAAGAGAATAATATTATATTGGGCATAGATAGCCAGAGGTCGAGGAAGGATCAATCCTTCATTACAGGTAGTTTTAAAATTCTGGACCAACAAATGAGCCAACTGATTCCCACAACGTTTAATAAAAGTAAAATAACAGGATGAAAAACTTCTAGATAAAAATTAACAATCTTCAATGTATGCACCGTATGATGCCAATGACGAGTCTCTCGCTCGGAGTACATTAATAACTTGTAAACAGTCCCCTTCCAACACTATATCGAGATCCAACCTTTCGTTCGAGCCCAGGATATTGCTACAAGGGATGCATGTGCCTCACACTCCACCGGTTTGGGCTGGCCCAGAAATCGTCTAACAACCCACCAAACGCATTTCCCCGTTCCAATCCCTTGCAATCGTTGAAACCGAATAAAAATTCTCCCCAATAGGAACCGATACGTCGAAATTAACTTTACAATCCCGGTAGGAGGAGGTGACCATGTTGTCGGGAAAGAAGTTCGATTTGTACCCTCATTCATGTTGTTCCCAATCTTATTCCTATTAATTGTTTTTGTGATGGAAAATTTCCTCGGTGGACATTTGCACATTTTATTTGGTTTATAGATATTCATTTACTTCAAAAAAGAACCAAAAAGAAAAAAAAAGAAAATGAAAAAACAAGACAAAATGGGGAAAATAACTAGTGGGGCCTATTTAATCAAAAATATGTAAAATATCTTATTGGACAGGTGAGATGAGTTACTCCGGCTTCCATTTTCCCCCAAATATAAGTTCAATATTCCCCAATCCCATACAGTCAACCCCCTCTCCTTCCAAGAAAAACCCTAGAATTGGTCAATTTTGCCGATATTTGATTTTTATCGCTACAATTTACATATATCTGCGTACATTGCTGATTCTCAATTCGAATCATCCCGATCTCCGTACGCACCTTCCATTTTCTGAGAATTTTGTATTATGGCGTCGGAGATCGAGGTGGTTGAGGAGGTGGAATCGAGAGATCATCGGTCGGAGTCCTATTCAAACGGCGGAGAGGGGGCGGCGACAACATCGGCGGTGGAAGATGAGAGCTTGCGGAACGACGTGTACACGGCTGCGGCGTACGGAGATATGGAGAAGCTGCAGCGTCTGGTTGAGAGCGAGGGTTGCTCGGTTTCCGAGCCAGACGGCCTTGGCTACTACGCCCTCCAGTGGGCGGCGCTCAATAATCGGACCGCTGCTGCTCAATACATTATCGAGGTATCCCATTATGTTTTTCGTGTTGGAAATGTTTGACCTTTTTCGTTTGATGTTTAATGGTGGTTGCCGGAACTTAATTGGATTCTGGATTTGGCTATGCTCATTTAATTGTAATTGATTCGGGTCGTTTAGGTTATATAGGAGGCTAAGGAAGTGACGAGTCGAAGTTAAATGCCGTAGCAAATAAGCTGAGAATGTAAAGAATGTAAAGTCCATAAGTGATTACGTTGTGAAAAAAAGATCATTTCTTGGAAAAGCTTCTGTGGGTGAACATTTCTTAAAGATAGGAGCAGATTACAGATTCCTATATATGATGTTGTTAGAAACATGTTCAATGGACCTAATTTTAAGTTTGATTATTACGACTTTTAGATTTAACTGCTGCAATTTAGTTATTTAATTTGAGAGAGACGAGGGCTGGCGTTATGGCGGGGGTTGATTTCCCGGGATAGGGTGCGGTTAACAGCTGCAGCTTTTATGTGTGGCTTGATTTTTGTGCAGTTTACTGTCTATTTTCTTAATTTGGTTTTATGGTTGACTGTTGTATCTTCTGATTATCTCTGGTGCATTACTGGCAGCACGGAGGTGATATTAGTGCTCGTGATCATACAGGCCAAACAGCTCTGCACTGGAGTGCAGTGAGGGGTGCAATCCAGGTTGCTGAACTTTTGTTGCAGGAGGGTGCTCGGGTTAATGCAGCTGATTTTAATGGCTACCAGGTTTGTTTTACTATTCTTGTGGGGTCTTCATTGCAAATAATACTTACTAATTCATTAGGTCAGCCATATAAATTTATCGAGGATCGACCATGGTGTTGATATAATTCCTTATCTTTCTAGAAACATAACAAGGAGTTGCATAGCTTATTTTTGTTGTTTGAACATGGCTATCAGGTTTCAATAAATTTTCGGCAGTCTGAACGAGTAGAAAATTACAGTTAACAGGGTGTTATTCATGAAAATTGTGTAGATTATAGCCAAATTAACTTACTCTTCAAAATAATGCATTAATACAGTTACATATTCGCTCCCTTTCTTGCCATACTTTGAGTGCCTGTTACCATTTTTGTGGTTTTAACAAGATTGGTTGCAAACGCAAATCACACTCTCTTTTAACTTAACACCAGTAATGTTTATTTCAGTTACTTAATAGATGTTAATAAGTAGGAAGTTCCATTGTCTGATGAAACATCAGTACAAACCGTTCATTTTGAATCATCTTTTGGAATTATGAAATTCTATTGGACGTTATTCTGATGACCAGTGTAAAATGCATGTACTCGTAGTGTTTTCTAAAATGGTATTTTCTGGAAATATTATGAAGTATGTTAAAATTAGCTTAAGTCTTGCACAAGGGATTTATCTCTGCAATTGCCTTGGTCTTGTATCTAAAATCCTTTTGTGTTTACTAGTTAATGCTGTTTATTTTCATTACTGTTTGTTACTTCCACAAAATGTTTGGTCTTCCGCATTTGTGAAAGTTTCCTATGTATTATTTTCACACTTAATCTGATTGCAGACAACACACGTTGCTGCACAATATGGTCAGACGGCTTACCTGTGTCATGTTGTAACAAAGTGGAATGCTGATCCTGATGTTCCTGATAATGATGGAAGAAGCCCATTACACTGGTACTTGACAAATGTAATTGTAATTCTCTGTTGTCGTACATATTTGGGGTCCTTGGTTGTTTCCTTATTTTAGATTTTTTTTTTTTGTGTAGGATTTATCTAAGTGAAATTAGGTGTCTGGGGACAATATTTTCTTTAATTTATAAATTTATGGATTTATTTTCTCTAGACAATTGTGGTCCTTCCTGAGCCGGGTATATTAGATTCCTTAAGTTGGTTTCGGTTATATCAGTCCATGTACTCCCTAGCTGGAGTTAATATGATAATATTGTAAAAATAGTGAAGCACATGAGTAGTATATGGCTGCATTAGGTTTTGCATGCCTTTTTTTTTTTTTTTTTTTTTCTCTCTTGTCCCTCTTATTACAGTAACCCATTATTGAACTGGCAACCTGTCACTTCTAAGCATGTTTATTTGCTTGCTACCTGCAAATTAAATTTTGATTCGCAAATTCTGTTCCTTTTGTGCTTGATATCTGCATGTAGAGTTTATATATGTACATTGTAAAAGTGTTGTTCCTTGATTAAACTAGTAAGTGCATGTGATGCGCCACATAGATCATTGAAATGGGTTTGTAGAATGATAGTCTTAAGGCTGGCTTGGAATCATACAGTGTTTCATGTTTGTTGGTTGTGTTGGTATTGGAGCAATATCGTTTATTTGTTTACGAAAGGAAGTCATACTACAGTCTTGAATATTATCATTCTCTTTCTTGCCGACTATTCATGTTCAATTTATACCTATACATTTGTCGTTTGATTGCTTTAAAACTTGACCTAATGAATTTTTAGTTTTGTAATTTTTGGGGGGTGTCTGTAGGGCTGCTTATAAGGGATATGCAGACTGCATACGTCTTTTGCTATATCTGAATGCATATAGGGCACGGCAGGACAAAGAAGGTTAGTAAAAATGCTTCATACTTGATATCTTTTCTATATGTTTTTTGTCGTTCTTTTCCTTTTGCTTCTATTTTCTATCTTGTGGATAATGTTTCCAGTTATCCTACTTAAAAGTGTCTAATGTTTATGCTCTTTCTAGGTTGCACCCCTCTGCATTGGGCTGCCATTAGGGGTAATTTAGAGGCATGCACTGTTTTGGTGCAGGCAGGAAAGAAGGAAGACTTGATGGTAACAGATAACACTGGCCTTACACCTGCGCAGCTTGCTTCTGATAAAAATCACAGACAAGTCGCATTTTTCCTTGTAGGTACTCTAAACTATTTCTCTAGAAAAGCATATTTAAGTTGCTCCAGGATAATGCTAAGTAGTTGTTCAACTTATTTAGTTAGTAGTTTTTAAATTTACATTTTCTGTTAAGGTGGTTGAATGTTAAGATTGTTATATTGTTTGAATTTAGTGTTGTTCGAATTCTGGCTGTAATACATAAATAATCACTCTGATGTACCTAGAAAAGCCAATAACAGCAAGGTGCTTTATTTAATAACAGGATTTTCCTCTCCTTAAATTTGAATGTACACATAATCGTGTTTAAACCATTCTTTTCAATTCCGGTCTTTATCAATTTCTGATCTAGGTAATCTTTTTCTGACGTGTTTTGCAGGGAAATGCTAGAAAGTTGTTCGAGAAACGATGGGACAGCAACAGCTTCCTTGGCAAACTTTCAAAATTAGGACTTGCTCCAATTCTTTGGTGTATAATTTTCCTGATGCTTGTGGCATATATACATTCGGTCGTCACAGGTATTTATCCTGAATTTTCTAATGGTGGTCTCAATTGACCATATAACTATTTTCATTTTTCATTTACTGGAGATAAGAATTTATGTTACTTTGTCATACACAGCTTCAAACCTTCCAAGATTAACAGCTGGGTTTGGTCTTTTTGCCTGGATGGGTGTATTCTTGGCAACTGTTGGCCTAATTCTATTCTATAGATGTAGCAGGTAACTCTAGTTTATGAGCGTGTTCAAACATTTCTTGAGATATTATCATATTTAATTTTATTTTGTGGAAACCAGGGTAAATTGCTCTTATGGTGTAAAACTGTTTGTCCTAACATAGATATCAATGGGTATTATGAAGATGTTATCACCTTAATTTCATTGAAAGACACCAAGTTACACAATGGATGTAATTACACGTCTATTTGTAGATCTTATCGAAGTAAAGCAATGTCATTTACGGTATTGAAATACTTTCATGTTGCACCTAGCGGCTGATGATACAAAGTGAAACATATTGTGTATGTATTTCTTTAAATGTTGTACATCTGTGAATTAGAAGCATCCTTCATTGAGCTTTCATTTCCATGATATATGTTCTGGTGTTGCTTGATTACTCAATCATCGTGCAAATAAAACTTATTACGGAATACTGTCTTCTTAACCGCCTTTTCTTCTTGCTTATTTATTATGGCTTACAGAGGCCCATAAACAAAATTGTTGATTGTATAGTTACCTGAATTGATGAATTGAGCCTAATTTTGTGTGATCTTCTCATTTGCAGCAAGGATCCTGGCTTTATCAGAATGAACATGCACAACCAAGAAAACATGAAAGATGATGTAAGTTGCAGCCCTTTTAGTGTTAGTTTCATTTTAATGAAGTAATTTTTTGTTTCACTAACTCATCATTGCACCATTACTTTTCAGAAAAAGAACTACTTCACTCTGTCAGATTTACACTCAAAATATAATATTTATACTTCTCATTTGAAAGTTGAGAGCTTATGAGATTTCTTAGTATTGAATTCATTGGTTTTGTTTAGGAACCTTTCCTGAAGGTTGAAATAAACAATCCTGCTTTGCTCGATGGAAATTGGTCTCAGCTTTGTGCAACTTGCAAGGTATTGCTTCTCTGTGGTGCACTGTTGTACAGCTCCATTAAAGAGAACAAACAGCAGTTCCCTAAAATTATTAGTTGTATTGTTTAACGAGACTTCCGCTTTTGTTCAATCAGATTGTTCGGCCACTTCGTGCGAAGCATTGTTCGACCTGTGATCGTTGTGTTGAACAATTTGACCATCATTGTCCGTGGGTATCCAATTGCATTGGCAAGGTACTTTTGCATTTACACATTTTCCTTCTTTTTAACTGTTGTGCGTGTAGCTATTGTGAAGGTTATGTCTTTTGGTTAACTGATTCTAGAATTTTTTTATATATGCTGTTCTCCAGTGGAATGTTGGAGGCAGAGAATTGTGCTCGTTTTTCTTATTAATGCTGCTTGCGTGCTCTAATAGCCAATGAGTGGAAATGACAATCTATATGTCATGTTCTAATTGCTTTTCATCATCTGTAACAGAAAAACAAGTGGGATTTTTTCTTGTTTCTTGTTTTGGAAGTTCTGGCAATGCTGATTACTGGAGCAGTGGCTCTTACAAGTGAGATTTACCTCATCTTTTTTTCCTATTAGCCTTTCAGCAAGAACTTTCTTAGGCATCACTGCGAAGATGCAAGTTTTATTACCTGTCTTTATCCAGTGGCAATTTTGTTATTGTTGCAGGGGTGTTGACTGATCCGATGGCCCCATCGACCTTCGGTGCATGGTTGAGCCATGCTGGGAATCAGCACGTTGGGGCTGTATCATTTATAATAACAGACTTTTTCCTCCTTTCTGGTGTCGGAGTCTTGACTTGTGTACAGGTGTCTCAGGTACACATTCCGACTCTTCTATCTTCTGCTTTTGATGTTGCTTTTCGGCCGATTCTCCTTAAAATCCATGGTTCACACTTTTGTCACATGTTTACAAGACCGAAAATTTTAAGGGCGGCTAATATCTAGTTCATATGCACTAACTAAATTGGTTTATACATTCTGCTACAGATTGCACGCAATATCACAACAAATGAAATGGCAAACATAATGAGGTACAGTTACCTAAGAGGGCCAAATGGTCGATTCCGCAACCCATACGACCACGGCTGCAAGAAGAACTGTTCAGATTTCTTGATCAACGGTTACAACGAAGATGTTGAGTACACTGAAGAATCAACAGAGCCTGAAGGAATTGGAATGATGCAAATGACAAGGAATAATAATGCAGAGCTTCCAAATGGTCATCAAACAAATGGACACGATAATAATCATCATCATGTAATTGACGTGAATAATAATAAAAACTCGTCAAATTCACATCAAGGTGGGGGCCACGTTCATTCTTCTCATTGCAGCCATAGTCATAGTCAGAGTAACAGTAACAGTAATGTTCCTTTAGGTTTGGGTGTCGGTTTAGGTCGCAATGTTTCCCGTCCTGCTGTGGTTTCGTGATTAATCGTATGTGCTGTTTTAGTATTGGAAAAAAATATACATACTTAATTTGTGACACCCACCTACTCTGTCTATATTCACACGCGAGGCGTTTGTATTTTTGTTTAATTGTTGTTCTTTTTTCATTCTTTGTTTATACAACTTTTTCTTCTGTGTTGTAGCATGGAAAGAATATAAAGTAATTTTTGTACCATTTTGAGATCTTGTTTCGGAGCTGTGTTGTCGTAATTTGGTTTTCTCCTCCTCGCTTTCTATCGTGCAGAAGGTTGTTTTCCCTATTCCTAAAGCATTGTTCCAGAAAATTTTTGCCGTAACATAATGGAAATTATTTTATACGTGTTGGTGTGAAAACACAACATTGTGGATGCTGTAATGTTAATGCGATAAGCAGTGTTATTTTCGTGTTTTTATTGCTTGCAAATAACACTCAATTATTGCAATAATTTTGGCATCACGACAAAAAATCTGATTTGCAAAGATCAAGAAGTGATTTTTGGAGGTAAGATTGCAGAATTGTACAATGAATTGATACAGCGGTTGATGCAATATTCGATCTCACATCAAATTGTCATGCTCTATAAAATGAATTGATCTGCACATTATTATTATTATTTTTAAAGTTGGCCTTAACATGTTGGCTACAACTTATACACAACACGCACCCAAATGGATTCGAAACCCCGACTTCTCACGAAACACCACTATGGGTCCATGGGAGAGGCTCCTAGTACCACTAAGCTAAAGCTTAGTTGATATAGCCGCACATTATAGTGCATAGTATTGGAGATATCTAGTGCAAAAAATGTAACTCGTTTATCACTAACGAGATCGAAAATAATGTGTCATCAACCGGTTATGAAGAGTGATCTTTATCGCGTAAATATACGCAGAGGCACAAAAGGTTTACTTTTGTATACTTATCGGACAATTCTCTCATACCACCATTCAGTTCATGGTAGCAAATGTGACATGACAAATTTAATTTACTTGAAGAATGTACCGGGCAGAAGACGATGTATGTGTAATCGAATAACAATCATCTTTTAATTTTAGTATATTTTTGTCTAATTATATGCAGATGTATACAGATGTGTTCTGAAGATAGAGGTGGGCGAGGGTTACTCTTCTTAAAATGCTCTGAATTCCATAAAAGTTGTACATAAATCTTTCTTTCATACATGGTTACAACTTACAACAAAAATGCTGCTGCATAACTACTAATACGATGACAACACAAGATTGCGATTTTGTGCCGTGAATATTTCTCCAAACAAGCTCCGACACCCGAAAACAGAGCAAAACGCGCGTAATATAAGCAACACTAATACGACAATGGAGATAACCAAACTAACAAACTTGAACAAAGCACACCCGTATTTCACGGCAAATCTTTTTACCCTAACACCGCATACGTTGTCGTATCTCGTGTTCACACTGTCAATGGCCTCCTCGATATTCGATTTATTCTCGCTCTTTTTCATCGATTTACTAATCCCGTTAAAAATGCGCGCAACTTCTTCGTCGCTCAATTCGCTCTCCACAATATTCTCCCTTTTCAGAATATCCACATCTTTGGCGCTATCCACAATCCCACACATCAAATCCACATACTCCGCAAACTCGAGTGTCGACCCTGGTTCGGTGATCGAAGCTGCTTCGTACGCCACCAAATTCCTCAGCACCACTTCCGAAGAAGCAGTCAGTTTAATAATAGGGAGATAGAACTTCTTCTCGCCCTCGTCGAATCTAATCTCTCTGATCCCACCGCTCGTGAGTTGCGCGAACTTTATACCAGCGAGTCGACTCATTCGAGAAACGGAAGGAATATCAATCTCTTCGACGGAAGGGTTGTTGTTCTGTTCGTCCGAGTTCCCTTTCTTGAACATGCCTAAAATTTTATCCCACGGAATCTTCTGCATGAAAGTTAGAACTTGCGCAGTTATTCCTGCGCCGGGCAAGCCTTGGTCCGCCAGAAAGTGGGCCCCATCGATGACGTCAGTCAACTGGAGGGAATATGTGCTGAAGGGACTCTGGATAGTAACGTTGTTCACAATCAAATAATACATGTGGTGTAGTAGGTGGACTTGATTTATGTCTCCCTTTATGTGCTCGTTCAGTTGGAGAGGCGAATGGTTCTGACAGAAAAAATGGAATTCCTCGTACAATGTAGAGTTCCCATCTGCATCAGGTGGTTCAAGAACCTGCCGGATTTTCCGGAGCAGAACGGCTGGGATCTGATTCTCCACCATTAGAATATCCGTTTCCATTTTAGCGTCACGTGGGGAATAACTTTTCAACAAGTGTAGTAAAAACACGGCATCAATGGCGAGAATCCACGACAGTGTTCGGATGTCGAGGTCGATGTACTGGTCGTAGCATGACCGGAGAAGAGGCTCCGACTGGACGAGGGCGTCGACGACATGCGGAAATTTGTGGAGGTTCTCGGTGCCGAGGAATTCGGTGACGGCGGCGAGTTTTAGGTTGTGGGTGGTGGTTGAGTAGAGGTCGGGGCGGAGGTGGTGGTAGGGGCCGAGGCCGAGGAGCTGAGGGGTGTAGGCTTCGGGTTTGGATTGGGATAAGGTTTTGGGTAGTGTGAAGACGCAAGGAGGGGTGTTGAAATCTATATCGAGAATGTGGTCATGTGGGAAATTCTTCTCCATTGCGAGAACCCATCTTTTCTCGCTTTCGCCGGAGCTGAAAATGCTTATGGAACTCATTTTCTTGGTGGTGGTGGTGGTGGTGAAGAGGAAGAACTTATTTCTTAGTTCTTATTTGTGGTTGGTTCATTGTGAGAGGTAGTTGAGTTGAGTTACTACTTGCTATTGATTTAGTTATATGTAAGACTGTAGTGGTTAGGTGTGAAAATAGGAATATAATTTTGAGCATATAATTATTTGAAAATTCTGATTGGTTGATTTCACCTTCTAAAAATAATTTCGAAATTTCTTTTATTTTTTATTTTTTATTTTTTTTATTTTATAAATAACCTTATTTATAGATATTATATTTCTTTCTTGGTTTTGTGATTTTTCAAATTACTTGAAAGGAGAGAGAATAATTATATAACTGACTTAGATAAGTGAAATTAGGTGTTACACTTGCTGAACAATCTCAATGATTTTTGTTTGTTCAAAGGAAAAGAAACAAAGAGCAATAATTGGTACCACTGAAAAACGTGTGATTGTTAATAATTGCAACGTTTTTTCCATATACAATTGTGAATCATCACTAAGAGACAATAGTTATTACACCACGACAACACTGTGTCTTAGTCTTTTCGATCTATATGGTCCCAAAAAATGTACGATTTTTTCGTCATAGTATCATTTTTACCCAAGCTATGCTATGGTTTTTAATGAACGACGGCACCTTTTATCTTCTAATAAAAAAAAAAAAAAAATCTAAAGCATTTAAACGGCTCGGATTGATGATTGGATTTTACTTTTGGGAAATATATTTTGAGGGAATAATTTGAGAATCAAAGTGGGGCAATTTTTTTTTTTTTGGTGTTGTTTTAGAAAAGAGTTTTTAAAATGGCGTTGTTTTCGATGGAGTAAACGAATTGGGATTGAGCGCCACCCCCACGGCGGCACCGACAGGAGGCGCCACCACCAAAGGCGGCACCGGCTGGAGGCGTCACCCCCACGGCGGCACCGGCAGGAGACGCCACCACCAGTGGCGTCTTCTGTCTATTTTTTAAATATTTATATTTTAATATTTTAAATATTTATATTTTAATATTTTCGGATTTTTAATTTTTTTTTACAAAATAAAACAATTCTAACTAAATTCATTAGTTTGATATTAGTATTAAATTTATAATATCTTATATATTTTATCCATTAATATTAAATAATCATTGCATATTTTTATTTAATTAACACAATAAAATAGTATACAATCTTAAAAACATGTAGTCAAAAACAAAAGGAGTTCTAGAAAATAAAAGAGTTATACAAAATAAATATGTCCAATAGTAAAAACAAAATGAGTACAAGAAAATAAAATTGGCATTATGAAGTCAGTGCCCATGTGAACCAGTGCCACATGCAGGTGCCCGTCTAGTCCTACGCGGCTTACCATCTCGACGAATATGTCAGGTTCTGCCGGTACATCATCAACAAACTGGGTGTCATCCGGTGGATATGGAACATGGGAAACATTATACTGTGGTTGGATCCGCTCTTGGGGACTTGAGTATCCCAAATTAAGTTCCAAATGTGAACCCCATGAAAAGAACTGAGTATCAATAGCAAGAGGATACGGGGTAGCTAGAGAATCGGACCATGGCATATCTGGAACGTAATCATTCGTAGATGGACCAACTAAATCTGTAAATGTGGGTACCTGAGATGTAGACGGACCGAACATATCCATAAATCCTTGTGTAGTAGATAAATCGTCCATACCTCCATGCACAGAAACATCTGTGTATTAGAAGCAAATGGACCGGCAACATCTCCAGATGGAGGTACCCGAGATGTAGATGCATAATAGTTCCCCTCTCTCGTCTGTGTCACGTCATGCTCCAATTCAGTAGCTCTTGCGGCAACGCTGGACCTTCTTCCGATACGTCTATCTCGATGCGGAGAATGTATAGGAGGTATGGCAGGTATCGGAGGTAAGCTGAACGAAACACCATCTCTACGTAGAAGTTGAGTCCCAGCTGCATACATCCGTATAGCATTGTCCTGATACAGATCATATATCCGATTGTCATCTCGAGACACTGCCCTAGCAGCAAGACTCATGGATATAAGTTGATTACCCTGAAATAAAAGGGATTACAAGTTTAAGAACTTAAAAAACTGAAAAAATAAATTGAAAAACATCGAAAGTAATGGTTGTTTTGAGAAAAATGCTAACCACAAGATCCAGTAAAATCGGGTCTCCGACCTGAAAACTGATATCATCAAGATTGTCAATTGGTGATATCCAACGACGTGTGTGCCTCTCATACCACTCGTAGTATCATGGATCTGTCTGAGGCCCACCAAACTCAATAAATGGATAGTCAACGGAAGAATCAAGTCGGCCATGCCATCTATCAACATAGATACGGTGAAAACGAGCCCAATCTCTACCCTCTGCACCTCGACGATCATAAATATGCAACTTAATCTCAATATCGTGATCAGTAGGATGTGGTGGTATATGATGTACCCTCTCAAACTGATGTAGCACCCTATACGGACGGTGCATCTCAACTCTCTCGTAAAATATAAGGGGACAACTCGACAAACAAAGCTGTGGATGCATTATCTCAGGATAATCAAGTAAAGCGCCAAACTCAGGATCTAGTTCACTATTAGGCATCCATGTAAACTAGAAAAAAAATATATATTTTAATATATTGTTAAATAGACCACAAATATTAACGTAATTGCAGTTAACTTATAATAACCTGATCCCAGAGCATCCGATCGAGCGTCGTACGATAAACACGCATATTGTTTCGCGAGGACCGAGTGTAACTAGTAGGTCTGATCCAACTGTAATATCGTATGAAAATTTGTTAAGTCAATAAATTAACCTTCATATAAATAAATTATTAGTACTAAGATGTTTACCGTGCACCGTAAGGACGGTGAGGATATGCAAGCCGACGGGGATCATCATCTTCTACTACTGGTAGTATTGCTGGAGCGAGTAAAGGTATCCTCGACCATGCCCAACACTAATTATTAAACATAAAAAATATCAAAAACCGCAAGTATAATAAACTATTAATTTAGATTTTAAAAGTATTAAAAATCATATTACCTGTAACAGAGTAAGCGCACCACCTAGATTAGTTTTCCTCTTATCCAACTCAACAGTTCCGCCTTATTCCACAACTTTCCTAAGTAAAGCCCCAGTGCATAGCTCACGATACAAAAATCCAAGAAGTGCACTACCCCAACTGAAAGTACGCACTGCCTCTCTTCGAAAAGACGAAGATACAACAACGAGATTGCACTTGAAGATGTGTTAGGACACATAACCCCCCCAAGTAGCAATAACAGTAAACACCTGGCATGCTGTTGAACACGCTGCTCCGTGCTGTCATCAGTAATCGTGCAATGTCGTAAATGTAGGGCCAGATCATTTGCAAATAGTCGTCTCCCTTTGAAAGCTCCATCTGAAGGAGCATATTCAAACCACGTCTGACAATAATCCTGCCACTGCTCCTTCGACCGTGAAATATCCTGTTCCAGTAACAGGTAGTCCATCAACACGCAAACCCCATAATAGTACGACATCCTCAAGTGAAATATTCAAACCACGTCTGACAATAATCCTGCCACTGCTCCTTCAACCGTGAAATATCCTGTCCAGTAACAGGTAGTCCATCAACACGCAAACCCCATAATAGTACGACATCCTCAAGTGTCACTGTCGCTTTCCCTGCTCGAAAATGAAACGTGTGTGTCTCCGGGCGCCATCTCTCCACTAAAGCTGCAATAAGATGCAAATCAACTACGAGACGACCACATCGATATACTCCATAGAACCTAGTATCAATAAGTACTACATCACTCTAGGGTGTGGATCATCATCACCATCATCTCCATATAAACCCCAAATCCAACCATCACAGCGTCTCCCGCGCACAATATCATCCACGTTTGCTGATGTAATCGATCTAGATACGTGCTCTGACTGGCGGTATAGCAATGAAGTGTCCCACGGACCATAAACATACGTGACATCCATCTTGTATAATGATATACATAGAACACTCAGATAATAAGCACAAGTGTAATAATAAATACACACTAATAAATAGAACACTCAGATAATAATCACAAGTGTAATAACAAATACACAATAATACGTAGATAGACTCAGATAATATGTACAAAGTGCAATAACAAATACAAAGTCAAATACGATAATTAGAAAATGCAAAGTCCATAACAATAGCTAGAAAAGACGAAGTCACCATGACAAATAGACACTACTTAGTCCGACGTGAAAACTAGAAAATAACAATATAAATAATACAAAGTGCAATGAACTACATAAATTATACTATCGGAGCCTTCTTGCTTGTTCCTCTCTTCTAGATTTTTGTCTCGCCCGTGTTTGTGGCACATCTCTCATTAGGAATTCGACTGCGTCTTCGATCTCCTAGTAGTGTTGGATCATGAATTAGTTCAAAAGCAACATCCTCCTAATAGTGTTCGCTCAACAGGGGTTGGAATATCCCAGAATAAGTGTTCACTAATCGATCAACAATGTAGCAATCGTTCACATATACGGAGGCAGACAACAGCCATTCACGGCACACGTGGAGGGCATGACTGCAGGGGATTCCTGCTAGTAACCATTTTCCACAAGTACAAGTTCGGTCCCTTAAACTCACGGTGTGTTTGTTATTTCCACCTCCACTTGGACGAGCTCTAGTCATCACCTCGGCAGAGAGCTGTTGTTGATTAAAACGAGTCGTGAAACATCTAACAGAGTTGGCTTCATGTGTCCGGTAAATTCCATAAGCATATGTGGACCAGAACTGTCCATTATGAACCATCACATTGGCCTCGTGGAGACGAGTAAAAAAATACCTAACAATGCGGTTGAATGTGAGGTCAATAATTGTTGAGATGGGAAGTTTTCGAGTTCAATTGAGAACACCATTATGAGCTCCTGACATGTTTGTAGTAAGTTGACCACAACGCTTGCCCCCATCATGTGCAAATGCCCATTTTTCTTGATCAATATCCTTCAAATAGTT